TTGTGACGTAAGCAACAAACTTTACATTATGTAAACTATTTTTTTCTATCCAGTCAAATTATCTGATTGAAATAAGAAACTGAAATTTCAATCCCTTGTAATGACTGAACGATATATATTGCATCAGCGTTATGAGTACACCTACCTGCGGTTCCTGAATACCCTGACACAGTGAGTACGTATTTACTGGCTTCGTCCCCGACATAAAATGTGGAATATTGAGCGTATGCTTCGTCTCCATTAAATCTTTGTAGCTCAACCCGGAGTTCCTGGTCCTTGTTCTTTGTCAACTCATAGATTGCGTCATTTCCTTTAAAAACAAATTCGAAATTATTGTTCATTATAGCCTATATGATTTTTTTGCACTATAATTACGTCTAACATATAAATCAGTTTTCAAAGTTTTGTCTTTAATACTTTTTATCCCAATGAATTATTGGATCAAACACAGTCTTTCTTCATCTTTAATCGTCACATCGAAAACTGTGACAACAAAAATTACTTTGCATAGTTCATCATTTGACCTTTTTGCACTAGAAATAAAAAATAGAAAGAAATAAAATCATTTTGGAGAAATTACATTTTTCTAAATTTAAGCAGAGTGGTTAAATCATCTTATTTATATACTGACAAGCAAAAGAAACGCAACAAGCAGTAATCTACAAATGTTTGATTTTTTATCTAAAGATTTTCAAAAAGAATACATTATGGTTAAACTCGCTTTTCAGAACATCAGAAATTTTAAATGTTTATCTTTTAACTTTACTTTAGTAACATATGACTGTTAAAACACCCCCCTCCCAGCCATTCAATTAAAACGTGCACGACTGCCCTAAACAACACAAGTTAATTTCTACGATACAATAGGTTCATCAATATCGAGATCTGAGCGAAGGAATTATTCTTTGCCATTTTTAAATGCCTGTTTTAAGACGATTAGGTCGAATTTTCTCTAACTTAGCGCAGTGTAGTAACCCTTGGACTTCCGGTTCAAGGACTTTCATTAATGCATATGATACGTAAGATCCTGTTGAGGCGTGATGTAGTGAATTATTGCATCAGGAACTCTCCATCACATTTACTTTGAAATTTTTTAGCTAGAGCAATGGAAATGTGTAATTAAGCCATTTTCAACAGGCCTTAGCATCGTTACGGGAAACGGAAGAAGAATTTATTTTTTGAAATATTGCTGCATTATTTATGATGAACAGTACAAACCCTTACAACTCCATTACATTGCCAGATGTTTTGTTAAACATGCAAGTTTTGATTTCTGTTAAGCACATTCAAACTTGACTACCGGTTATGGTATGAAAATCGTTAAACCGTTAAATTACCGATATTTACCAAATTGAAGATATCCATAATTTTAAGATACAAAATTCTTTACTTTGCATAATTATTTCCCCCTATAGTAGGATGTTGCGTTTCTTTTGCGTTTCAGTATATATTTAGAAATTTGAATTAAAAAGTGGGGATCTGCGTTATTAATATTTAGATATTACTAAAATAGTGCTTATTTTAAACTAAAATTTGGCTACATTTTCAAGAACTTTAATATGTTACTACTGTACAGCTCGGATATTTTTTTTTGTGTGTAAATTCAACCATATTTTGCTGTTTGTCTTTCTAGGTATATTGTATAAATCCACTAGATTTCTCCTACAGATTATGGAACGTCATTCATTTGTTTGAATTGTCATGATTTCTAATTCAACATGTCTGTAAATTTTAAGTATCAATTTTGTAAGCAGCTTAAAACTGCTTTTGACTATCTAATAAGAGTGTCATCTTATTCACAAATATTATGGAAACAGATTAGAATGTTTCAAAATTTGTTTCTGAATCCCTTTTGATTTTCTGTACTAATAGCTTGTATAAATTTACTGCTTGTCATTTTCAAATAAAATATGGATTAAACTTGAAAGATGACAGGTTGTTATTTATACCTATAAAGAGACACCTTATGATTTAAATGTTACATAAACTTATCTTACCAATCCAGCAGTTTTTAGAGGGATCCCCAAATCCTTGTTTATATTCTGACCACGTCCTGTAAAAGTCTGTAGAATTGTCCTGTCTTCTTTGTATTGCCTGAAACATTAAAGAAGGCTGTCTCTTTTATTTGCTTTGATATGGAGTAGGTTTCATTAAAATACCCATGCATACATTTATAGATTAAGGTTTCTTTACAGTTTTAAGGCAATTCCGCCCTCCTAAGATGTCATAGGTTTTTGCAAAAATGTTATTAGTTTAAATTCATACCAAATAGAACAATATCTTTTTGAAGAATGCTTTACAATAGGTGTAATGATAAATATTTTTAAAAGTAAAAGATTTTTAAAAATACATATTTTCTTTATTATATCAATTATTCAATCTTTAAAAATGTTGACAAGGGCAAAAACTCCTTAAGTCTTTTCAATTAGGCATTTGCTTTATAGTACTTCTAATGTAAAATAGTTTCCCTAATATTTACATTTAATGAAATGAACTTTTGTGTAAAAGGAATATATTTGTGTTAACTAATAAATAATTCACCGTCCAGCCCCCTCCTTTTGTTGTCATGTCACAATACACTTTCTTTTTTCGGTTTCCATCCGGATAAATTGTATATACACCATCCTTTCCTTTCCGACCGGAATTTTTCTTCAATATGATTGAACAATCCTTGTACTTATGAACTGAATGTTATAAAGCAATCAAGTATAGTATATGTTGCATGTAATTGAAACATGGAGATAACGAACAGTATTCAAGATCAAAAGTCTATAAACAATACGAAATAGGAGTAGAGCAAACACGGGCCTCCGAAACATCAGAGGTGGGATCAGGTCCTATGGAGGAGTGAGCATCCCCTGCTGACCGGTCACACCGGCCGTGTGCTTCTTGTCATGATTGGAAAATAACGGAAAATCCGTTGTCAATTCAGTGTATAAATAATGGACTTACAAGTAACATTTTGTAACATTTTTACAAAAGGAATTTTAAGGCACGATAAATAGCCTACAATAGTTTTCTGCAACATTGACGATCTTGGTATCAAAGCACCAATGGAACAAAGACTTATTACTCATTACTTTAAAAACAAAATGTACCGTCTTGAAATACATCCTTGGATAATTTCGTTACATCATATGTGGAGACGACATTCACTTTGAAGGAAACAGGATGAACAGTCTTAACCTGGGATCCAGTTAGTTTCCAAGACCAGCGAAAACTCTTAAGATGTTGATAAAGTTTTGCTGTAATTTTTGCCAATAAATAAAATAAATGAATAAATCTTTACAAAAATGATTTCGAGTTATATTTGTTAAAAACGAAATAAATCGGGAATGTTTGTATTTTAATTTGACTTCAGTCTTTATTTTTCTTTTTTTCAGTATTTATACAATGAATTTTTTAATAAGTAGTAAAAAACGGCTTTGAGTTAAAAATTTTCTTTTAAAAGTAAATAGATATTCATTTATTGAGAGAGTTGTTAAAGATTTTGAGCAAAAGCATAAAAAGATATATTTGGTCATGTCCTCCAAAACAAAAGTTACATCTTGTGTAATCTGAAATTTGTCAAATTATAATTATTATCACAATGTTTAGGTGATATTACTTTCGAATCACTTTTTGCAAAACTTTTAAAACTCGAAATGGACCAAGCAGATACAAATTATGTTAAGATTTAGAACAAAAGAAATAAAAGTGTTCTGAAATAATTGGGACAAGTGGTGGGGGTGTTCCCTCTTATTTTTTTGTCGCAAAGTTATTTTTGTAATTGTTTTTTCCCCTTATTTAATTACGAATAGTTTATATTCCAGAAATTTTTTTATTTAGAGTCGGATTTTACAATATAAACAATAGCTATGTTGAGCTTTTGACTGACAATAAAAAGTATAATTAGTTAGACCCATGAATCCCTTTTATCAATTTTATAAATATATTTACTTTAATTTAGTTTTATGACACAGAAAGCAAGGAAAACAAGGATATAAATTAAGACTAAATAAAAGAAATTCCACGCATTTTAAAAAAAAATTCTTAAGATTAAAAATGTGTGTTAATTTTCCTTCTAGCAGAGAATTCTGATATAGAGATTTTATCACACGCTAAATTCTAAACAAATTTTTGTACATGTACATGTACTCTCTTGTAAAATTAAAACTAAATGCGTAAAATCCCGGACCTACCTTAATAAATTAATAAAGATGTCGTTGACAAAACAAAAGCATTGTAGAATTGTAGATGATATACCTTTGAATGACGGGGGAACTTCATCGCCTTCTCCGTAAACCGATATAAGGACCACACACAAGCTTAACTGGATTGCAGGCTTCATACTGTACTATACGCTGCACGACTATAAATTTACTTTTATATAGTAAGATAACAATGCAATCTCATCATTATTGCGGAAGGAGATACCCTTTTCGTGCAAGAAAATTCAATTCTATGACATAAATAATAAATATATATATATTAATTCTAAGGAATTTAAACGTTTCTAGAACAGATTTTATTTTCCTTTAAATTTCATTTAAGACACAACCCTTCCCCGCGTAGAATAATGTCGTTTATAGGAACTTATTATATCCCCGCGTAGTATAATGTCGTTTATAGGAACTTATTATATGCCCGCGTAGTATAATGTCGTTTATAGGAACTTATAATATCCCGCTTGAAAAGTGGGAGGATATACTACAGTAGTGATCAGGATGTCCGTCTTTTACACTTTGGGGTACCCATCTTTTATACGCAACTCCTACTATACCACTGAATGAATGATACATTCTCAGAAATTCTATTACATAATGTCATTGTGACTTCCTATTTTACTTTTTGATTTGACACTTATTTCGTGTCTTACAGAGCAAAACATGGAGTTTGCAGTTATACCATATGGGAGGCGGGAGTATCATTCAGTGAGCTTTAAGTGCTAACAGAACCTCTACTTTTATTTATTTTTGCAAGAAATGTAATTTAGAGGGAGAAAAAACGAGGATGTGAGAGATAGTTGTGTATAGAAAACATAACAGATGTTAATTTCACGAAATGAAGTGTAGCTTGTAAATTATTACATTGATAAGTGGGCGTAGCATAACATATTGCTCTGATCGATAATGCTTGATCAGAATGACCTTCGCTTTGGACAAATTTATATACTTTAAATAGTATATAGAATTGAATGTTGACGTACAATAAGTTATAAAATGTAACTTTTTAGCTTCCAAACAATTTTATACAACAAACAAATTCGGAGTAAATTGCAATACAATGTATTTGATAATTAGCTATACAGTCAGTGGCGATAAAACACTACTCAATTTACTTCAACTCAATTCACATAATTTGTTATTTTAATTTCTGTCAGTACAATATTCTATTGCATTGGCAATAAGCATAAGTTGAGTCAGCTTTATCAGATAGAATTGTCATCCTGGATATCACGTCAAACTCATTGTAAACTGAAAGAAGACGGGCACACACGGGGTGTTTATGAACCACGTATTTAAATAGAACAAGGCTCTTATCAAGGAAAAGTACAATAAAATCGTGGCACTTAAAACTTGTCTATGGAAAATCTCCGCAAGTACAGTAGAAAAACTGTGTAGAAAAAATTGGCATTTTTGAGATTTTAACAGAAACATAAAAATTCTAGTGAATCGTTTTTTTAAAGGTCAACACCTTATCCCTTATGCAACAGCTTGCAACACTTAACAACATTTTAATATCCTAAGTATTGATTGCTACATGTTTCATCAATTACTGGACTTTTATTATTTTTCTAGAAGAAGGATATGGAGATAATGAACAGTATTCAATCTCAAAGTCCATAAAACAATACAAAATATGAGCAGAGCAAACACGGACCTTCGAAACATCAGAGGTGAGATCAGGGGTCATCGAGGAGTAAGCATCCCCTGCCGACCGGTCACACCCGCTCTGTGATTCTTATCATGATCAAGAAATATCGGAAAAATCCGTCGTCAATTCGATACGAATATTGTATCATAAAATGGATTTTAAGGAAGATTTTGTCGTAGCACCATGTTTTCTTAAAAACGAAATAATGTTGATTTTTAAGCATACTTTGAAAAACTACTTTCAGAAAAACGAGCGAGGATTCACTTATACAGTAAAATTGAATAGTTGTAGTATGTGCAGATTGATTGTTGTTTAACGTCTCTCTCGAAAATTTTTCACTCATATGGAGGGCTACAAATTCTGACCTATATTCGGCACTTACGGCCATTCAGCAGTGAGGGATCACAATTGGGATTCGAACCCGCTGCGTAAGGATCAACTCCATACTCTGCTGGCGACTAATATGCGTAGAAATGATTTTTTGTCCCATTTAATTACATTGTCAAACTATTTCTTATACAAATACAAATATTCATTGGCACGAAGACAATTACAATTATTGGCAAAAACACAAGATATTATAAATATCATCAATTGTTCATATATTTAAACAATATTCTTGTATAGAATGTGAGAGTACACATAATCAAAATTAAATTACATCCCCTGACAAGCGTAAGCGGTGACAAGATTACTGCGGTGTCAGTAACCATTAAAAATGATCACTGCGCGTTGTTCCGGTTACACGGTAAGAATTACTGCTGCAGAAAAACAAGGATAGAGGTATGTGTTCCGGTAAACAATCTTTGATATTTTTTATGTGACAAAACATTCAATGCTCAATCAAAACCTATCCAATAACGATATGTTTCAACACTTTATTGCAAGCAACAGATCCAAAATCTTGCGACCCGTTTTCACAAACATTCGACCAAACTTCCGACGAAGGCACGGAAAACGTGTCCACATATACACTGAGATCACTATAAATCTTCATTTACATTGCTAGAAGGCACTGTAACATCGTAAAATTTCGATCCCTTTAATAATTGAACATACATCTGCAATTTTAAACTTAATTTCAGTCAAGAAAATTTGAAATATCATTTTTCTTCATCTTTGAGCATCAAATAATTACTGCAAATTCAAACACTTGGATCTGTCCAACTTTTTCAGCAATTGGATACACATCTACAATAACCCAGTTTTGGACTGCTCCACACAATACATGTTCAAGAAAAAAACATATTCGTCCAAACAGAAGTCCACCACTTCCAGGAAGTTTGACGATTGACGGTTCTCTGCGTCCCTTGAATCTGGTTCCAATATAGCGGATCTGTCGGCCACAATCATCTGTAATGTCCAGTGTTGAATAGTTCTCCGTCACTTCGGATGAAAACTGCACTGTGCTCAACTTGAGGTTTAGAAGATAAAAGTTCATCATGAACTGTCTCATTTCTGGTGTGATTTGGGATGTGGTATTCTTTGTGTGGTTTTCTTGAGAAGAAACACTGAATCCATCTCTCATCTGTTCCATGATCTGCTGACTAGTTTTTACAAGGGTCTTTTCATTGGTGGACAGGTCGCCAGGGTTGAACCTTCCACTCAGTATCATATATACACACCAGTCGTAGATCTAAAAACCAAAAAAGTAAAGTAAATAAACTAGCTTTGGAAATGAGGATATTTTCTTTAACCTTTACATGATGACCATTTGTGGCCAATTTCTTATCATGTACAGTGCGATATTAATTAACAGTATTAAGAAACATAAAACTGAACACAATACCTTATTTCTTAGACATACAAGATACAGTACAGTCAACGCGGTTTATGCATTTACCGCGCACCCCCGCGGTGTGAATCTCATCGCGGTTAGTACAGGTGTCTCAGGTAAAAACCGCGTGCCCCCGCGGTTCAGTAATCCAGGTAAATCACACCGTCGCGGTGCATCTTACCGAATACAGGTGAAAAAACAGTCTTGGTCTAAAACGCGAGTTACCTCCCTTTGAAAATATCAACCAAAACAAAATAAAACGAAATTAATGATATTTTAACATTTATAGTCGCTGAAATATTTTAAGTACAAAATGAAAATTATTTTTCTAAAAAATATACTCGCACGTATCTGAATAATTATAAAAATCGTCAAAACAAGTTTCAAATAGCGTTTACTAATCCTTGAATTACTTTTTTAAAATGTGTTCATTCTATAAATTTAGATCCATGACTTCTGATATAAATTACTGTTTGTGATATATTTATACGACAATACAAGATAAAACACCCAGTGTGCTATTCGTGATATTCAATTTTAATTCATATTTTCGTAACGTTTTTTTTTTTTAATTTTGATAGTGGATTGATTAAAGAAACGATCTATCGTAGTGTCAATTTCATTGGGGCTATAAATGAAAGTGTTTTAAACTTATTAATCTTCAAATATAGGATTATAATTCGCAGAAGATTTTTATGTAATCAGCATTCTCCGAGTCGTCGTAAAGTGTCATTCCTTTGTTCTGGGGCAATGTTCTTGAAATTAGTAGAATGTGTATGTGTGTGTAATTTGATGGCCTACCAATCCGTAGAGAATAAAATAAAATTACATAATGTCTAGAGCTAGACCTGGTACGCATACTTGGTCCTCACAGCTGTACACTTGACAAGGTGCGATCCCCTGCACCAGCCCTACCCCTGGTGTACACGTGCGTGCCCGAAAGCGGGTCAGTAAATTTCAACTGTCGTACATGTTTAACATACTTCACAATGACATTTACATTGATCATACAATTTAATACATATTTGAATTTTAAAATTATTTAAATTTACGATATGTAGATTACCATGATTACTTTCGTGTAAAAAGTTAATTTTGATGTAAAAATCATCCCCCTTCCCCCTTTTATTTACTTGGACACTATTAATGTGTCTTACACAAAACTCAGCACAATTACAACTTTGGATGGGGGTTATTTTCCCAATATCAGTAGATATAAACTAAGTTGATTTAGAAAATATTGTATTCATGTATGAAAATTCAACCAAAACAGTGCCAAAAAAAACTACTAAGCTTATTAATGCAAAATTCTATTAGAACTATTTATATCGCGTAAACAAAAATTTACTGAAAAGAAATTCATAAACACCACAAACAATATCGGAACAACATTTTAGGTACATTTTGCATTGGTAAGTAATTTTTTGGTCCTTGTTAGATCTAGTACATGTATACACAGTGTACGTGTAGCTGCACGGACTAATCGTGGTCTCCTTAGTAACTGGTGGATTCCTGTGTATTGAGCGCGTTCAAGCGGAGAGGGATTTCCTGTCTCACAGTGACACTTGGTTTAATTTCACACCTTTGTGAAAGACAAATGATTTGGATTTTCGCAACATTTTGACACTTTTAAAATATAAAATAATATACTGGGTGGATTATAATTTTCGACCCCCCCCCCCCCCCCCCGGGTTCCC